AAAGAGGTCTTGTGCAGCCGATTTGCTTAATGCAATACATCATTTGACTTCTCGATTGCTGCTTCCATGAATGTTGGTGGTTGATTCAGATCAATACTGACATATAATCATCTATTAAGTACAATACAACACTACCACAGTGTCTGAGACCACAGATAATTTCAGTTCACATGAAGAAGCAAGACAGAGTGACTTAAACAAGTGATAAAAATACAAAAGCAGAAAACCCTTTTGAGGAAGAAATGGTATGAGAACTACCTGATAGGGAATTCAAATGTATGGTATTTAGGTACTTTCAATGGATTCAGAGAAAGATGGAGACAGTTGTACAAGTAATTAAGAAAAGCACAGGAAAAAAACTAAGAAATTTCAGGAAAACACAACAAGAAAAAAATTGACAAAATAAAATAAAAATTAGAAACCGTTCAAAAACAGCAAATACAAATCCAGAAGATGAATCTAAGATTACAGAAATAGATAGTCCATTAGAATTGAATCAATGGAAAGCTGAATTAGTGATCTTGAAGACAAATCTCTCAGTACGAGTCTGCTAGAGGAACAATAAGAAAAATGAGTGAAAAAAAAAAAAAAAAAAAGGAAGCAAGGCTAAGAATTATGTGGGACATTATCAAGAGGAATAACTTATCTGTGATCAGAATTCCAGAACAGAAGAGACAAAAAAACACAGAGAAAATTGTCAAAGAGTTGCTGGAAAAAAATGTCGCTAGCATCATGAAAGATGAGAAAATATGCAGTCAAGAAGCGGAACAAATCCTAAACAGGGTTGTTGTTGTTATGTGCCATGGAGTCAGTTCCGACTCATAGTGACCATGTACAGGGTTTTCAAGGCTGTAAATCTTTATGGGAGCAGAAAGCGTCATCCTTCTTCCGCAGAACAGCTGTTAGTTTCGAACTGCTGACCTTGTAGTTCGCAACCCTATTCGTAACCACTATGCTACCAGATGTAGACTCCCCCCAAAATCACCAAGATATATCATGATCAAACTGTTCAAAACTTAAGACGAAGAAAGACTCCTGAGGACAGCTCAGGAAACATAAAAAGTTGCCTACAGAGGAGAACCAATAAGACTAAACTTTGATTTCGCAGCAGAAACCATGCAGGCTAAAAAGGAATGGGATGACATATATAAAACTCTGAAAGAAAAAAAACTTGCCAACCAAGAATTTTATACCCAGCAAAACTGTCCCTTAAATACCACAGAAAAATTAGGACATTCCAGATAAACAGAAATTAAAGTTTTCAGGACCTTCATTTGCTGGTGCGGCACAACTGAAAATGAGGAGAAATAGCTTTAAACAAACATTAATAATCAGAAACATTATACACGGTAAAATGGAGGGTCAACGAAAAAGAGGTAGACTCCTAACAAGGTAGATTGGCACAACAGCAGTGTTTGTGAGATTGGTGCAGGACGAGACAGTGTTTCAGTCTGCTGTGCATAAGGTCTCTGTAAGTCAGTACCAACTGGACTGTGCCAACAACACAGTGGAGAGCAACAAAAGCAGTAGTGACAATGTTAATTTCTGATAGCATTTAGGACAAAAATCAGCATAAGAGACAAAGAAGGGCATTTTGTACTGATTAAAGGATCAATTGAAGAAGAGAACATATCCATAGTAAATATCTACGTACCCAATGAAAGAGCCTCAAAATACATAAAACAGAATTGAACAAGGAAATAGACAACTCTACAATAATAATAGGAGACTTTGATTGATCACTTCAAGGGTGAGACAACTAGAAAGAAACTCAAGACACAGAAGAACTAAACAACACAGCCTCCTTGACCTCCTAGACATACACAGAGCATTCCCACCCATCAACAGCACAATATACATTCTTTTCCAGTGCACGTGCAACATTCTCCAAACCTCAGTAAATTTAAAAACGAAACAAAACATTGAATTACTTATGCAGCATCTTTTCAAATTACAATGCTATATAACAATATAAAATTTTTAAATGGGAAGTTTAAAGGAAAAAAATCAAATATATGAAAATCGAGTAACACACTGCTTAAAAACTACTGGGTAGTGAAAGAAAGAAAAATTAAATTTAAAATTCTTGAATCAAATGAGAATGAAAACACAGCATACCAAAACCTTTGGGACAAAGCAAAAGTAGTGCTCAGAGGGCAATTTATATCAATAAATGCACAATGCACACACACAAAAGAAGAGCTGACTTCCTGCAACATGGTGGACTAGGCAAGCATGCTATACAGAACTTCTCCAACAAAGATGAAGTCCTGGTGTGGAACTGTAGGATAAGCACTGGATTTCAAGGTTGGTTTGAACTGCAAGGTTCTACTCCCCCATTTTTGTTACAAAACTTCTACCTTTACCATTGTGACAGTCGCAATTAGTCATGATGACAATTACTCACTATTGAATCATAAGAATCTTATTCCCTTCTTTTTTACCAGACCCATCTAGACAAGATGAAAACTATTCAGTGGGGACTCCAGCTTCCCCCACACACTCCTAAACTAAACTCCCTCTTGAAACCTTGTAAGCCAGTCACTTTGAGCTTTTATCACCCCCTCATTTAGGTAGCCAATGTCTAAGTTGCCCATCCCTATCTATCCTGTATACTGAAGGGAGAGCATTCATCCTTGATGTAAAGACTCCTTCCATCTCTGTTGGTATTTTGAACTACTACCTCCATGAGAATAGGTCAAGTTCATCAAATTGTAGCAATTTACCTTCGTTTCCTTTATAAAATTTTTTTTTTTTTTTATCATTTTCTAGTCGAGTTCTGATTATTAAGCCATTGAGGCTAGGTCAAATGGGTACTATCTGCAAGTTTGGATGCTCTTATGTGTCTCCCCTCACCTTATATCAACTGGATAATTCACTCTTATCTCTAGCCCTCTGTGGCTATGTCCTTGTCCATGCGTTCAGGTGTCCCCAGGTCTCACCACATTTTGGGCCAACCAGCCCTTCCCTTTCTCTCTCTCATCTCCAGGTCAACAGGAGTCAATGGGACGTGGTTGAACTCAGCCCATTTCTTCATTGCAGCCTTTCCCCCTCTTCCATTCACCAGTAAACCAATGTGGTCACCAGCAAGCTTACATGCCTGCTTATGTGTTCCCTTTAAGTTTCAGTCTTAGAGGGGGGTTTGTCCTGAAGGGACTTGATTGCTTGCCTTGATGGCTTCCCGGCAAACAACTTGCTTATTCTTGTAGTAGCAAATCATACGGCCATTTTTGTTTTGGGTTTTTCCTGATGATCTTCGCATGAAGATGTATCTTCTGTCACTCTAGCTGTTCCAGGCTGGTCTGCTTGTCCTTTCTAGTGGGGATGTCCCGCCTTCAGAAGGTTCTAGATGGGGCTCAGGATTCCACCTAAGGTCCTATACACACTGCACAGGCTCCTCAAGAGGCCTATTTCACTGGGCAAGTTGTAGAACCCCTTTTAGGTATTCCACCAATTCATATTTAAAGAGATGGAAAAACTAATCACCAACTTTATAAAGAGATCCCAGGTATGTTACATATTGTTAGGTGCCACTGAGTCAGTTCTGACTCACAGCAACCCTACACACAACAAAGTGGAATGTTGACAACTTGAATCTTTTCTCCATTTATCATGATGCTATTTATGAAATACAAATGTTGAAAGGATGCAACCCTCACACACACCTCTCTTGATTTTAAAGCACGCAGTATCGCTTTGTTCCTGTATGTACAGGTTCCACATGAGCTCAATTAAGTGTTACTGAATTTCTATTGCTTGCAATGTTATCCATAATTTATTATGATCCACACAAATATCTTTGCATAGTCAATAAAACACTCTGGTAGCGTAGTGGTTACGAATCGGGCTGCGAACCTTAAGGTCAGCGGTTCGAAACTACCAACCGCTCCGCGGGAGAAAGATGAGGCTTTCTACTCCCGTAAAGATTTACACCCTCGGAAACCCTGTACAGGGTCGCTATGGGTCGGACCCGACTCGATGGCACTTAACAACAACAACAACAAACATTACCTAACTACATACTACCCATCTATCTATCTATCCATCCATTCATCCATCCATCCATCTATGAAGGGGCCATGAAAGTAAATCGTGCCTAGGGCTCATGAAAATCCCCGTGTGGTGTGGGGAGGAGAGACAGGGGAGTCTACTACCATTCAGCTCATTCTGGATTTCAAAATATCTGCCTGGCCACCTCTCTTAAAACGCTCTCTTCAGAGGGAACACCTGGCCTCCCTGAATAGACCTGTCCACCCTAAGGCTGACCCCAGCTGCTGCTTTGAGAAATGTACCTGCACGCTATGACCTATCTGGGCAAAGGGGATGGCACACCCGCTAGGGAAGGGTCTGGGAACCATGTGAGGATAGCAAGGGCGGCAATGCTAAGCTCTAGAGACCATTAACTCCGTGAACCCCCTTTACAGAGGAGGAAGCGAGGGCTCAGAGAGGTTGAGGAATTTATCCAAGCTCACATAGCTGGGATTCAAACCTTGATGTGTGGTTTACCAGACTCCCCAAACCAGGCTTCTTCGTCCCAGATCTCTGGAACCTCTCTCCCTCAGTCACTCTGGGACCAGGAGCGGGGCACACCGAGCAACTCCTTTGCTCACCACCCATTCGTTCTTGTGGGCTATTTTCTTTCTCCATTGGGTTTTCCCAAACCCACCCTAACACAGTTGATCCTAAGAGAATTTCATAGGTTCTCTGGACCTCAATTTTCCTTGTATGCATGTATTGGGACACGGGTTTTCCTCTAGTACAAGCAAGAAGGGAAAAAGAAAACCAAGTTCGATGTGCCTTCACTGTGTGCGTCTTAACCCCTGGCCGGACATCCTCCCGGAAGTTCCCTCCCATCCCGCGCAGTCGGCTGGCAGGAATAGGACTGGGTCCCTTTAAATTCCGCCTGGGAACGCCCCGGTTGGCCTGCGCCATTCCCGGATCTGCAACCTGGGAATTGCAAGCCCCGGGCGCTTCCCCTCGCTGTGTCCTTAGCTCCGATCATGAGCCGAATCTACCACGACTGCGCCCTCCAGAACAAGGCGGTGCGGAGCACGCAGCTGCCGGGGGTTTGGGACCCCACCGCCCATCAGGGGTAGGCCCCACCGTACCCCCACGCGGGCAGGGATACCAGCCCTTTCCTATGGCCTCCATCTCCCTCGCCCACCTCAGTTTTGAACCTGGGATCCTGGATTGGAGGATGGGACGATGGAGGGAGGGAAAACCGGGGTCACCCACGTCTTCTCTCAGACTTCCAGTGCGCACCTCTTTGCAGCCAGCCGGAGCGCGCCCTCTGAGACGGAGATCTGCTGGAAACGCCCCGACTGCCCCTAGTACGCTTGGGAGAAGGCTGTTAAGTGCCATCGAGTCAGTTCTGACCCATAGCGATCCTGTATAGGGTTTCCGAGGAGCAGCAGCGGTGAGCTTGAACCGCCAACCTTACAGTTCAAATAGCTTGGCGGTCTGGCGCATTAAACCATAGTGCCACACCAGTACTCCTTGGTGGTGGTTATGGGCCAAGGAATGGTTAAGACTCACTAGTGACTGACCCTGGGGTTTCCGAGGCTGTAAATCTTTATGGGAGCAGAAAGCCTCATCTTTCTCCCACGGAACAGCTGGTAGTTTCGAACTGTGGACCTTGAGGTTCGCAGCCCAATTCGTAAGTAAACGCTACCAGAGCTCCTCCCAGTACTCCTTACTGACCCCTAAACTAGGCTCAAAGGGTGGTGCTTTGGCCAACCTCGGTTCCCACCCCACTCCCAGGACTTTAAACTCTAGCCCTTTACACAGACTGGAATGTATCCTAGTTGTGACCGCAGCAGAGAGTGTGAGCTGAGTGGGGGCAGAGTTGGGTTTAGGGGATCCAGAGCAGAGCCAGGCCCTGCTGTCACCATAGTTATAAGAACAAATGAACCATTCCATTTGAAATTATAAACCAACCAAACCTTCAAGTCCCAACCTGATAGGACAGAGGAGTGATGCTGTAAGATCAGCACTGGACTGCGAACCACAAGATCGTCAGTTCAAATCCACCAGCTGCTCCTTGAAAATCCTATACAAGGTCGTTATGAGTCGGAATCGACAATGGCATTTAACAAGGACAGAGTAGAACTGCCACATAGGGTTTCCAAGGCTGGTGTGGCACTGTAGGGTTAGCCCTGGACTGTAACGTCAGTTTGAATTGCAAGGCCCACTCCTCAGAAACCCCATACAGGGTCGCTATGAATTGGGACCAGCAGGCAGACCTCCGCATCTTTCTCCCACAGAGCAGCTGGTGGGTTCCAACTCTTCGTTCACACCCAAGCACTTAACCAATGTGCCACCAGGACCCCTTGAAATTACAAACACTAGAGAATTTGTGTGTGTGTGTGTGTGTGTGTGTGGTGGCTGGAGGGGGTGTTGTTGTTGTCAAGTGCTGTGGAGTCAGTTCTGACCCATATCAAACCTATCTAGGGTTTCCAGAGTGGCTGGTGAGTTTGAACTGCCGACCTTGCAGCTTAAACCGACTTTGCAGTCCATCTGTTAACCCACAGCGCTACACCAGACAGGGGCAAATAAACCAGAAAGAGTTTTCCAATACTGTCCCCTCTCCCTGACTTGTCATTCTTGGCTAACGCCCTTCCCTCTTCTACTTCTATGGTTCAAAAAAAAGGGAGGCCCCAGGTTCTGCTTTTATGAAAAGTCCTATCAGGAAGCCTGGGGTCCAGTTCCTCTCAGTGAGCCTCCCTGTGATCTTGGTCCAGTCACACAACTTTGAAGTCCCGGTTTCTCTACTTTTAAAATGGGAATAACCACTTCCTCATTAGGTTGTTGACTGTTTGGATATGAATGAGAACAGGAATATATGAAAGTGCTTTAAAGTAAGTAAAAAGGGAAGATAATTCATACCTATTTTGAATTTCCTCCAATCCCAGTTTGGCTAAATAAAAAAGCAAAACCCTTTGTATGCAGTAATCGTTTCATAGCTTTTGAAACCCCTTCGTATATAGAAACCTTATGCCACCATTTGTTGTTGTTACATGCTGTCGAGTCGGTTCCGACCCGTAGCGACCCTGTATAGGGTTTCCGAGGAGCAGCTGGTGAGCTTGAACCACCGACCTTGTAGTTCAAACGACTTTGCAGTCCAGCGCATTAGTCCACAGCGCCATACCAGGGCCCCATTAGAGGAGTAGATTGAGGTTAGGGGCTGCTTTCCACGTTTTGTGTATAAGAAGACTGAGGTTCTGGTTACAGTACACCCCAGTGGCCCTGCAGGAGGGACCATATCTTGATCTTAGAGCAGCTAAGGTTCCTCCTGCCCTCTTAGAGAATGGGGGCTCCCCAGTGTGAGAAGCACAGAGAAAACACTTTCAAGTATAGGGGCAGGTGAGTGGGAGCTGTACCTGGGACTTGCTTCTGTCCTCATACAGACTGATGGGTCATGGAGCTGGGACTCTCGAGTCTTTTCTGACAGAACTGACCCATCCCTTCTCTCTCTTGTCCCAGGGGAAACGGTGTTCTGCTGGAGGGAGAGCTGGTAGATGTATCTCGGCACAGCATCTCCGATGCCCATGGCAGGAAGGTGAGCATTCTTCCTGGCAACACCTTGGGGCATTGGCTTCGCAGTGTTTACCACCCGAAGCAGCTCCCTGTATGGGGTTATGCCAGAGCCAGGGACTTGGGATCCAGCCCTTCTTGAAGGACTTCCAGGGTACTGGGAGATGGGTCAGAAGGTCAACAGTCAAATTGGACTGCTGAGTAGAAGAGATCAGTGAAGTACTATGAGTAGACAGGTGAGAGGGCCTGGCCATATCTGAGAAGACAGCTCAAGTTCTGACCCCAAATAACTATCTTTGAGCTGGGGTTGGAAGCATGAGAGCAGGAAGTGGTGAGGTGGGCGGTTTAGCACTGTCTGTGGATGCTCCCAGGAGAGCTTGTCATCCCCACAAATGCAACCAATCCATGGGACCAGGAGCCTTGCTGGGGGGAGTCAGGAAGGTGGTCAGGATGGGTAGCTTTTCATTCTCTTGAGGCTTGGGTCCAGACCACTATCCTCTGACCTGGTGGTTCCCACCACTCCGAGGTGGTAGACGAGGTCAGAGCAGATTAATGGTTTGTGTGGCTGCAGGGTCAACGGTGACCTTCCCCTTCCTGGATACCAGCTCTGTTCTCAGGAAATTGTGAACACATTTACGTTTTTGGAATTGAATGATTGTAAATGCCCTGCTGGCGTTTGCTGTTTGGAACTTTGTAAGATAGCGAAGCTCTTAGCATGGACTCACCCATCTTTGGTCATCTCTGTTTGTGGCTGGGCATTTTGGAATGTTGGGAATTTACAAAGCACATCACCTGTGTGAACCTGGATCTCCACTTGTGTACAGGTGGGGGAGCAGAGGGATGTGAGAGAGGGCTGCTGTTTTCTAGGCTTTTGTTCTCAACCTGGATGTGAAGTTTGCATTGCTGATACTGTCAGTGGCTTCCTTCCCATGCTGATGTCCCTTTTACCTCTGCCCTCTCAGCCTCCTAGGTCTTGAACTCCTCAGGTGTCCAAGGACATGTCTGGTGTTCTTCATTTTGTGCCAGCATCTCTTTGCTGAGCCCTGACTCGGAATATCCATCCCTCTTTCCAATACCACGACCCAGCTGTGCTGACAACCTTAAATCTTCATATCTAAAACTGAGCTCATCAAAACACCATGTCACAGTGTTTCAAGATGCTACACAGAACCTTTCTTCCTGCACCCCACAGGAACTGCCTTAGCTCCCAGCTCGCCAGTATTTTTATGCTGAGAAATGCTTTGCTGTGCCACCCCCTCCCTAGCATGCACATCAGCAGGATGGGCACACCAATCCAGAGTCCCCAGCCAGCCTTCCCAGGATGCCCAGCAATATCCCCACACTGAGGCAGAACTCCTGCCGGGGCCAACCTATCCCTAGACAGGCAGGGTGCTCCCCCGCCAGCCCCTGTCCAAGCTTGCTTCCAATGAATTTCTTGTCATGGAGCCCTGGTTTGGCACTGTAGGATGATAAGCATTAGACAGCTAACCTCAAGTGCTTCAGAGCCACCAGCCGCTCCTCAGAAACCCTATACAGGGTCACCATGAGTAAGAACCAACTCGATGAAACTTACCAACAACAATGATAGTGTAATCACCCACCCAACCAAGTTCTACCCAGCTCTCTCTCACAGTTAGATAAGTAATGCCTAGTCCAATTGGGCTCTTCCTATTCTTTCTGTCCCCTTCCCATGCCCACTTACCTCAGAGGGACCCTTAGGAACTCCAGCCTGTCCTGATGTACCATCCTACCCCTCAGGCTCATTCCTGCCTGGCTGTCAAATTCTGTTTTCTGAAAGACCCTCTGAAGGTCTCACCGCTGTGCCAAAGGATTCTTTCTAGTCTGCCAAATAAAATCTAAACTCCAAACACCAACTGAAGACCTGCCTCAAACTGATCCCACTTGCTTTCCCAGCCTGTGCTCCCACAGGTCTTTCCCAAGTGCCCCAAATTGCTCAAACTTTTTTGTGAGTCTTGACTTCTGCCTACCTGTCCCGAGCTTTTAGTATTCTGTTTCTCTTATCTCTGGGGTTGTAGGTTTCTCTACCCTTTGAGACTTTACCTTCCCTGTTTCTCCCAGGAAGTGGTCTTCTCTTTCTTCATCTGCTGGAACATTTTCTTGGTCCTGTTCTTACTGGAATAGCTGGCAAAGAGCAGTTGGGACACGATTCATGGTTGACACTGTGCTCGCCCCCTGCCCCCATGATGTCATTGAATCCTTACAGCATTACTAAACGTTGACATTCTGTTGTCCCCATGTTATAGGGGAGACAGAGGCCCACGAGGGCTAGGTGTGATTTGTCCCACATCTGTCGGCAGTGCTTCTTTTGAGTACTCTTCCCACAACACCTTGCTGCATCCACTCCTGCTTTATGAGTGCTGGGGTCTCTTAGAGCTTTGCGCTTGAGTTGTGTTTTCTGTACGTACTTTTCAGCTCTGGCTGTGTGGCTGCCTTGTGTCCACCTACCATGGACCTCTACCGTGGCTCATGACGTAGCAGGTGTTCTGTTGAGCGCACCAATGAATGAATGAGTGAATGAATATTTTAATGGGGCCCATCTACCCAGCTTGAATAGTTTTGGAGCTGAGATGAGATTCTAGGGTTACAATGAGCTTGAGGAGGGCTACATCCAGATCCCAGGAGAATTGTGTGTTGAGGTGGGGGCAGTAAGGCAGCCCCCTCATTCTCCCTTTGCCTGGCCACAGGATCGTTACTACGTGTTGTATGTCCAGCCCAGTCGTATTCATCGCCGCCAATTCGACCCCAAAGGAAATGAAATTGAACCCAACTTCAGTGCTACTAGGAAGGTGAACACGGGCTTCCTCATGTCTTCCTACAGTAGGTATTCACCCCTTTCACTTCAGGACCTTCCCGTTGATGTGTCCTTCCTTGTCCCCTGAGTCTCTCGGCTCCTAGAATGTGTCTTCCTAGCACGGTCAGCCTTGTAGTCAGACCCTAAGGGTACCCTTCTTGGGACTAGACCCATTCTTGTCCCCCATTCAATCAGAGGTCACCCGTGGTCTCTCATCTTCTCTTACAGTCTCTAGGCTCCATGACTTGACTGCGAGCTCTGACTTGACTAGGCTAGGCCATGATTCTTAGTGGTTTAGCAAATACACTGGAATCATCCTCCGTTTTGTGATAGGATTTGAACAGACAGCCAATCAGTTTAAAGGGCTTTCCCAGGGGGCGTGGCCTGTATCCAACAGAGACTGGATGCGCTGGCAGAGTTCAGCCTCTCTTCATCCTGCAGCTGACTCATCATCCTCTGAACTCCAGTTCTGGGAACTTGAACCAAGAGCCTGCTACCTAACCTGCAGATTTTGGAATTCACCAGCTTCCTCCTAGAATTATGGTGTTGGCAAAGGATATTAAATATACCCTGGAATGCCAGAAGAGCAAGCCAGCCTGTCTTAGGTGAAGTACAGCCAGAATGCTCCTTAGAAGTGAACATTGTGAGACTCCCATCATACATACTTGGGACATATTGTCAGGAGGGACCAGTCCCTGGAGAAGAACATCATGCTTGGTAAATACAGGATCATTGCCATAGAGGAAGACCCTCAAGGAGATGGATTAACACAGTGGCAGCAACAATGGGCTCAAACATAGGAATAATTTTGAGAATGATGCGGGACCAGGCAGTGGCTGCTTCTGTTGTACATAGGGTCCTTGTGAGCTGGAACCAACTCAAAGACACCTAACAACAACAACATCATCGCCCACAGTCCCGCCAGCCAACAGCCAGCTGTCTGATCTGACGATATGGGGTTCGTCAGCCCCTATAACTATGTGAGTCAGAAGAAGCCTCCAGAATGAGTGGATGAATAGAAAGCCTAGAAACCACCAAAGTTTGCTCCTGACTCCAGCAGACCCCACTCTAACCAAGGAGACCCTGAGAATCTAAAGAGATTCCTGCCTGGCCTCCTGATTGTCAGTGGGAAGGCAGAATCATATGGTGTGTTTGAATCCTGCCCCGCCACTGAGTAGCTGTGTGATCTTGGACAAGTTACTTAACCTCTTAACGCATTGGTGTTCTCACCTGTAAAATGGGAATAATAGAGATGTGTTAACATTTGCTGTGATTGGCTATCAGTCACACTGCATTATTTCATCATCCTCATGTCAGGAACATTTAGTTAAGCCATTTGCTCAAGATCATTTATCTTGTAAGCAGTAGAGCCCAGATTCATGCCAGACAGCCTGGGCTGTAATTCCTTCAGTGAAGTTTCATTGAGTCCTTACAGAATGCGTAGTCATAGGCCTACCTGGGAGTCCTAGTGTGGTGCTGTAGGATAAGCATTAGACTGCTAACTGCAAGGCCAACAGTTCAAACCCACCAGCTACTCAGTGGGAACCCTATAAAGGTTGCTACGAATGAAAACTGACTCAACGGAACTTAACAACAAGAGGCGTACCTTACAGTGATGGTGAGGGTTCAGTGAGACGATGCAAGTAGAATCTTCAGCCCTTGCCTGTTCACAAAAGGCCCTTTCTTGGAGCAATAGCGGAAGGAGGAGAGTCAGAAATTGGAGAAAATGGAATATGTGGCTTATTACCTCTATGAACAACTGTCCTCTTTTTACCTTGAGGCCAAAAGAACTGGATGGTCCCCAGCTTCTATGACTGACCATTTTGATCAAAGAGTCTTTAGACGAATCCTGACTTAAAGGGAAAAAACACAGAATAGCATTTTAAGTTCTCATGGACTCCACACTTTATGCAGCTATGGAGGCTGGATGAACCCTTGAAACTATTACTCTGAGATCATCTTTAAATATTATGCCAAATATATTTCCTTAAGTCTTCTTAAGGAGCTCTGGTAGCGTAGTGGTTATGAATCGGGCTGCGAACCGCAACGTCAGCAGTTCGAAACTACCAGCTGCTCCGCGGGAGAAAGATGAGGCTTTCTGCTCCCGTAAAGATTTACAAGTCTCGGAAACCCTGCACAGGGTCTCTATGGGTCGGAACCGACTCGACGGCACTTAACAACAACAACAAGTCTTCTTAAAACCTAACAATGTTGTTGTTGTTAGTTACGTGCCGTCTAGTTGGTTCCGACTCATAGCCACCCTATATAGGATTTCCAAGGAGCAGCTCCTGGGTTTGAACCACCTACCTTGTGGTTCACAGTCCAGTGCAGACCCATAGCACCACACCACAAACCCTAAACCAAACAATAGCTTAACTAGTAAAAAAAAAAAAAAAAAGGTCTTTCTTGAGCATTATGCTCTTTGAAGAACTATCTACTACATGGGATCCAATTAGCAACAGAAGATGAGACAGGAAGCTCAGGGCAGTGGGTTGCGTTGATGGAGGAAGACCAATTCAGAAAAGGAGAGTAAGAATGGGTGTACAACTTGAATGTTACAAATGTCACTGAATTGTACATGTAGAAATTGTTGAATTGGAGTTCCAGTTCATAGCTGCATGGGTTTATTCCAAACAAAACGTATTTAAACATGTCTAGTCAGTGAATGGCTGCAGACAGTTTCAGTAATACACTTGCCTTAATCTTATTTGTTGTTGTTAAGTGCCATTGAGTCGGTTCCGACGAGGCTATAAATCTTTACGGGAGCAGAAAGCCTCATCTTTCTCCCACGGAGCAGCTGGTAGTTTCAAACTGCTGACCTTGATGTTCTCAGCCCATTCATAACCACTACACTACCAGAGCTCCTTTGGGGGCCTACAAAAAAAGGAGACTTTTTGTCATCGGAAAAAAAAAAACTATTTTGAAGTCAGGTCTGATATTAAATTTTTAACAAAACAGAGGGTTCATCTTTCCAAATCATTGAAGCTTTGTAGCAAGTTTAATGAAATGCTGCCCCATATAACACAACAGCTTTTTGAGATAATAAGCATTTTAAGGAAGTTTGGGAAGACTTCCAAGATGAGCCAAAGGAGGGAAGACGGTCAGCCTCCATGAACTTTTCAGTCAAGCAACTGTGACTGAAAAGTTCAGAAACTGATAGAAGAAGACCACAGAATTCCCAGTGATGCTGTAGCTACTGAAGTTGGGAGCTCACATGGTTTGCCATTTTCAATTTTACGTGACCATCTTGGCCTCAGCATGGTTTCAGCTGGATGGTTGCCAAAAGTTTTGCATGAAGATGAGCTAGCTCAAAGAGTGGATCATTCCATCATTCTTTTAAGCAAGATTGAAGCTAGTGATGGTGATTTCATAGAATGGTGTGTATCAGGGTTGAATCGTGAATTTGCCAATACAATGCAGAGAGTAAGTTCCAATCAAAACAGCGGCTTCCAGAGGGATCTGCTGAGCCTGTTACATTCAAGGCAGACTCAGCTCAGAAGGTTATGGACACTGTTTTTTGGAATTCCAAAGGAGCAATCTTGATAGATTATTTTTCAAAGGACACAGGATGACCACAAGGGCTTTATATGAAGAAATGTTATGACAGTTGAAAACTGCATTGGTGAGAAAAGGGCCAGGAAAGTTGTACCAAGAAATTGTTCCCTACCCCCCCCCCCCCCCCCCCCCCACACACACACACAATGCACCTTGCTCGTTCTTTGAAGATAGCAAGGGCTGACCTTTGAGAGTTTTGTTGGGAAACCTTACCCCATCCACCCTACACACTTCATCTTGCCCCTTCAGATTTCTTTTCATTTCCCAGATTCAAAGCACAGTTAATAGCAACATGATTTGAATCCCTCGAGGATGCTGAAAACTCCTGTTTTGCCAGTGTGTCAACTGAGCAACACAGAATGCTTCAGAAAGGGGTTCGAGATGGAAACACCACCTTCAGTAGTGTATAGACCTAGAGGGAGGCTATGTGGAGAAACAATAGCTTCACATTTTGATATTTTGGTTGAATAAAGATTTCTATGATTCTGTAGCAATTGTTTTTTACTTCCCCTCATAGTCTCAATAGCAGGAAATGATTTTTTTTAGTAAAAATAAAGGCCTTTGTAAGTGTTTTCTAGTAAATGGTTAATAACTCTCTGATACTGTTTGTCTGCAGAGGTAGAAGCCAAGGGGAACACTGACAGGCTCACCCCTGAGGCGCTGAAGGAGCTGGTCAACAAACCAGAGCTGCTTGTGCTGACCGAAGGCCTCGCTCCAGACCGGACTGTGGCGTTCTGGATGCCTGAGACAGAGATGGAGGCACTGGAGCTGGAACTGGGGGCTGGGGTACGGCTGAAAACTCGGGGTGACGGCCCCTTCCTGGGTGAGTAGTACAGCCTCCACACCAGCGTAATTTCCTGTGTGACACGTGAGGGCTCCCGGTCTCCCTTCTGAGGCTCCGCCACCTCTCCTCCTTAGAGGTCTTGCGAGCTGCTAGTCTGGTCTCCATGGGGACAGGACCCCTTGAGATTTATTCCTAAGCCCCTGAACAATGCCCTGGGGTCTGCAGCCTGGACATCCTGGATCCCAGAGTGTTGCCTAATCTGTGTTACCTACGAGTGAACCTATAACCTCATACTTCTAGGCAACCCACTTAGGGCCTCCCTGACCACATCCTGGCCTGGAGAGGGCAGTGACTTAACCTAGTCCTACCACAGGGAGGGAGGTCATTCAGTTGCTTCTTTTTCTTTCAGATTCGTTAGCCAAACTTGAGGCTGGAACAGTGACCAAGTGTAATTTCGCTGGTGATGGAAAGACAGGCACATCCTGGACAGACAACATCATGGCCCAAAAGTCTTCAGGAGGGGCTGTAGCAGAGACCCGAGAGCAGGGAGATGGGGCAGAAGACGAGGAGTGGGTAGGTCAGGAAGATGGCTGTGGACCTGGTATTGGTGTGGTTCTATCTCTTGGCACTTTTATATGTGTTGTTAACTGGGTATAGAATGAAGAGAGGACAACAGGATAAACCTTTGACAATGGGCTCATCAATTCTTAGAGTACGTTAACATTCAGAAAAATTCCTGCAAGGTACGAAGGCCAACAACCTGTACCTTAGCTGCCTCATGCTACCATAACAGAGATAACATAGTGGGTAGCTTTGATTTGCTTCCCTGAAGTATATTTCCTCCCAAAATTTGAATTGTTGTCAAAGACGCCAAATTGAACATTTCAAACAAAGATTTTTTGTGTGCCAAAAATGAGCTCTTTATCTAGATAATGGAGATGATGATTTTTGTCAGAGAAAGCATAGGTAAGTAGAACAGAGGGTATAGATCCCCTTTTGTCTTAGTGAAATGGATCTTGGATTGAAAAATAGTTGAGAGCTGCTTGGCCAGCTTCTGGGGCCAGCCAATGAAAGGAAGCCAAGGCAGGAGGCTGAGGGTCTGCATCCCCAGTACCACGGTAGTGAACTTTGTTGGCCTAGTGACTTATGAGCCTTTTACTAAATGTTCTCTGTTCATATCTCTTTATTCCCCTTGGATTTCTCCAGGATGACTGAGGTTCATAGGAGATAGAGTGCCTCCGGTACCCACCAGTACCTTCTATGCCACTGTTGAGAGTTTCTTCCCTTGACTTCTACTCTAGAGCTCAAGGCAGACAGCAGTCCACCAAATCTTACCTGAGTCTTCCTACCACCATCTTGGAACACCATTTGGACAAACTCTGCTTTAGCCAAATCCAAGACCAAGACATTGGTCTGGGGCCCCATGCTGTAGCTCATGGAAGAACCCTCGCTGGATATGAATCTGACCTTTGTAGACTTTAGAAGCTGGTGGTGGACAAAGCCCCAGGACAGTGTGAGATGAAGTGGCTTGGTCTTGATGCAGAGTTGGCAAATGTCTCTCGTCTGAATGCAGGGGAGAAGGGACCAGGGGCACCTTCCTCTCTGCCTGTTTGCTTCCTGCTTTCCTTCCTCTCCCAATACCCACACTCTGCATTATAGCCCCTGCTTTCCTGCTTCCAGCCTCTTTGTCCTTTATACCCTTTCCTGCTCCTGGAGTTGCCACTTCTTCATTCTACCATAGATTTTCCTGTCTTCTGCTCTCCCCAGCTGGTTGCTAGCAGGTGCTGTTCTCTGGGAAGCTCACAGTGTTCACCGATGTGACGGCCTGGTCCTCATCTTGCATACTCATTCACTGTGCCAGGCTGCCTTTTTGATAACACCTTTTGTGTTGTTGTTTTGTACTTTGAGAACTTTTTAGAAAATGAATAAAATTTCAGAAAAAAATTTGTTCACATTGACTGGGTTACTGTCAGGCATCAATGGGTCTCTTGACTGAGCGACATTCCTGTTAGAAGGCCGCCATTTCTCTCTGCTCATGAACTTTGCCTTGCTGGCTTATGTGTCAAAATCCAGATCTGTGAAGAGATCAAGAGTTGAAATGTACATGTTCAGAGGACTTTGTGGACTATGGATGAATTCTACTTGACTTGGGAAAAGGAGGGGTTGGTGGTGACCTAATAATTGTTGAGTCCCCCTACTGTATCATCACCACTCTGTGTCACTTTGTCCTACTGTGGTGGCTTGTGTAATGCTGTGATGATGGAAGCTATGTCACCGGTATATTAAATTTTAGCAGGGTCACCCATAGTGGACAGGTTTTAGCAGATTATGACAGACTAGGAAGAAGGACAGGCAGACCACTTCTGAATGATAAGTTACTGAAAACTTTATGAATAGTAGAAGAATATTGTCAGATATAGTGCTGGAAGATGAGACCCTTAGCTCAAGAACAGATTTGGTGCATTAGACACTAATGACAGAAAACCAGAAACGTTGTAGGACGACAACAAGAACTCATGGAGTGGCACTTTCTCAAAAAGTTGGAACTAGAAATAAATACCATATGGCCCCAACTATCCCTCTACTTAGTTTATATTCTCAAGAAATACGAGCTGTGAAACGAATAGATATATACACACAGTTCATTGCAACACTGTTCACAATAGCAAAACAGTGAAAACAGTCTAAATGCTAATCAGCAGAAGAATGGTTAAACAAACTTTGGTACATATACACACATGGTATACAACATTGAAGAGTAACGAAGAATCTGCAAAACACCTCACAATCTGGATGAAACTGGAGGACATTATGCTGAGTGACAAATACTGTATGAGATCACTGTTGTAAAAAGTGAAGGTCTTCAGTTCTAGTCTGAGTTGTTGTTAAGTGCCATCGAGTTGGTTCCGACCCATAGCAACCCTGAACAGGGTTTCCCAGGCTGTAAATCTTTACAGGAGCCGAAAGCCTCATCTTTCTCCTGTGGGACATCTGGTAGTTTCAAACTGCTGATCTTGCAGTTCGCAGCCCGATTCGTAACCACTACGCTACCAGAGCTCCTTCTAGTCTGGGTAGATCTCCCCAAATCTGTGATGTTCCTAGGGCCCAAACCCGCAGCCCTGGGGCAGTACTTTCTCAAGTACCATGGCTCCAATTGCAGAAAAGCCATTAAGGCCTTAGCAAAATGTCACCAAACTCAACTGAAAGAGGGGAAAAAAAGGAAACAAGTCCCTTTCTTGCCTCCGAATATACTGAACTGCCCCAAACTGGAAAGGGCAGAATTCCAAATTTGTGACCTGAATCATGAAATTAAGAAACTGTTGAGAGAAAAAGGCCAATGAGAAGTCTGGATAAAGATGTTGGGTAGTCCTGACTATGGAAAAGTTGGCCCTAACATGCTGAATCATGAATGGAAAGAAGTCTCGGGAAATCGAGGGTACAAATACAGATTTGCCTGGTGTTAGAGAGCTGTTTGAAAAAGAACTCCTTTCTCTTCCAAGAAAGACATGAGCTGAGCTCAAGAAGGCTATCAATTTTGAGTACTATGGCTACTTAGATGAAAATGATGGTGTTCTTGCACATTTGGAATGGCAATATGAAAAGAAACTGAGATCCGAATTAGTGGAAAACAAAGAGGCCTGACTGGCTAGAGGAGAAAGATAGCAGCTATGCCGTCAATGAAGAGAAGTATGAAGAGGAAGGTGGCCAGGAGAAGGAAGGTGAAGAAAGGCAGCAGAAGTTCGTTGCTTATGTCCCAGTGGCATCCCAGCAAGCGATGGAGGAGGCTGTTGTACATACGAAGGAGACAGAGCTCCTTCAGAAGTACATGAGACCCTGTAGGCCCAGAGCAACGAAGTCAAAGACTTGGGCATTAGGGCCTGTTGGGTAGTTATTGAGGTCCAGGAAATCTTGCGGAAGTTCGTCCACTCCCCTCTGGTTCCAGGTGCCAACCTATAAGCCCACTGTATGCTCTGCCATTCTGAGACTGCAGACAGGCAGGCAAGAAGCCCACTCCACCTCCCTTTTTTACTCACTGTTTCCTTGCCTCTTGTGCTGACCCAAAGATGGGGGTCTGTCCCTTGTCACCTCCCTGGCAAATGACTAGGTGCTGAACACGTCAGTCACTACCTCTGTACAAATATTTTTAATCCATTTTTTAAAAGTTTTTATTGTGAATTATGTGATAGTTTACATGGGAGAACATTAGCTTTACATTCATCCTATCTTATTTCATTTCATTGCAATGATTACAATTCCCTGCATGCATCATTAAACAGCCAAAGGGTACACCCCACAAGCCTGCCCCTGGCCATCAACATGCAGACCTTCTCCTTCCCAGAATCCAGAGTCCCCAGCCACTCCATCTCTCCACATCATCGTCTCTGCCTACATCTTTGGCGTCGCTGCTTCTCTGGATAGGGTCCCACACTCTGCTCTTCTCCCTTGATGGTCCCAGGGTCCTCTGCTCCTGGACTGCAAGATCAGCCACTCCTTTACATTTGCAACACTCACAATCAGTCCTGATAACAATTATTCACTCTTAATTCACAAGAGTCTTATCCCCATTTGCTTTCACCAGCCCTGTCCAGACAGGTTGGAAACCACATAGTGGAGATTTACCTTCCCCCATAACTTCTGAAATTAGGCTCCCTCTTGAAAGCTCATAAACGAGTCACTTCGTGCCTTTGTAGCACCCCCCCACACACCCCATTTTGGGTAGCCAATGTCTAAGTTGCCCATCCCTGTCAACCCTGTGTACCGAGGAGGTGGGAATGATCCTCGCTGTAAAGATTCATTCCCTCTTTTGAGCTACTACATCCACAAGCATAGGTCAAGTTCATCAAATTGTAGGGTAATGCATTTATTTTTATTTTGGAGTTTGTAAAACAGATTGCTAGTTTTATTTATCCTTGTACTGTGATCTGGGGGAGTGCAGAATCAATTCATGACCAATATTTAAAAAATGCAATTTTCCTTAAAAAGACCTTTATAACTTTTCTCAAAATACAGATGTTCCATCTCTTGCTGGCAGTCAACCAGAATTGCTCCCATTGGGCCCAGCACGCTCTCAGCATCTTAGGGCTCCACTGCCTTGGCCTTGCTCATTCCTGCCTGGGAGGAAGACTTTGAATTTGCTATCTCTGTTTTATAACTTGCTGTTCAAGAGCTATTTTCATTAAAAACTTTAGTATGACTGGAAAAACAATTAAGAAAAGTTTTGTTTTAATAAAAGAAACATTCTATGATGGTTACCTGGGGTGGGGAAGGGAATTATTCACAGCCTAGAGAGTAGACACATGTAAACATGGGTGATGGGATAGACAACCAGAGGGAGGTTGGCAGAGGAAAGATGAAGGTATCAGGAGGCACAGGGAGGAGTTTAAGAGTTGAAGGAAATAGAGGAGATTGTTGTTGTTTAGTGCCTTTGAGTCATTTCCAGCTCTCAGAGACCCTCTGTAGGGTTTCTGAGGAGCAGTTGGTGGGTTTGAACCGCCACCTTGTGGTTCAAGTCTACCTTGCGGCTTAGTGCTTATCCTACAGCACCACACCAGGATTGGATGGAAATAGAGGTCCTGGTACTGTGCTATAGGATAATGCACTGGTCCACAAGGTCAGTTTGAGCCACAATGTCGGAGGTTCAAACTCACCAGCCACTCATTGGAAACCCGCTACAGGGTCATTATGAGTTGGAACCAACTCGATGGCACTTAACAACAGCAGTGACAATGGTAACAGATGGTACCTAACAGATGGCAATTACTGAGATGAAGCAAAGTGTCTGATTTGTTGAATGCAAAACTGATATCTGTTCTGTAAACCTTCACTCAAGTCACAAGAAAAAGTTTTAAATAAAACAACAACAACATACAGAAAGAAAGACAGGAAAGAAAGAAAAGACCAAAATGGATGTCAGAAGAGACTCTGAAACTTGCTCTTGAGCATAGAGAATTTAACATAACTGGAAGCAATGAGGAAGTAAAAGAGCTGAACAGAACATTTCAAAGGGCAGCTCAAGAAGACAAACTCAAGTATTATAATAAAACATGCAAAGACCTGGAGTTAGAAAACCAAAAGGGAAGAACATGCTCAGCATTTCTCAAGTTGACAGAACTGAAGAAAAAATTCAAGCCTCGGATTGCAATAGTGAAGGATTCTATGGGCAAAATATTGCATGGCACAGGAAGCATCAAAAGAAGATGGAAGGACATTGGCTA